CCCCTCTAGTGCCCCCTTCTGCCCTTACAGAGCACTCACACAGGTGTCTGAGAGCCCGGTGAGGCAGGTCACAGGCTTGGGAATGGGTGCTGAGAGAAATGAGATAGCTGCCCAAGGTCACAAGCCACCCAAAGGTTCTTCTGATAGAGACGAGTTGTCCTCGATGTCACTTCACGTTTTTCCTTAGGATCCAAACCCCTGACTAAGAGCAGGGCCAGGAGCAGCCAGCATGCACAGGAGCCAGTATGCCACTATGGTTTGGGCACAGAACATGAGCAGCTCCTGAATGGTCCCCACCTCATTGTCCCTTTTCCTGGCCGAGCAGACCAAGTGGGGTTTCCACGTAGCAAGGTCAGTCGGGCCACCAAAGTCACTGGGCCACTGTGACCATGGAGCCTGCATCCCAACCCAGGATAGCCTCCCTTGACACTCACCGGCCTTATGATCAAGCGGATCTTCATTCACAGCCAAACCTAATTCCTCTCACTCAATGGCAGCACCCAAATGCAAGCCCATATGTCACAGCCCTCCCTGCTCTGTGCCCTACTCTTGCAGGCCACACCCACATGTCCAGTTACCTCCTGTCCAGAGTTCTTTTGCCATCATGGATGGACACACTTGTTCCTGCACTACTGAGGTCCCCTCCTCAGGTCCTCCTTGTCCCATTCACTACATCCAGCTGGTCTCCAAATTCCCATGAATCCATCTCCTTGTCTCCTCATTTGTCCAGCCTCCCATGGCTCTCTTTTCAGTCCAGGACACTCCGGTGGAATGAGGTCATGGTCTCCCTACTGGCCTCCCTGCCTCAGCCTCTCCTCATCTCAGCCGTCGCCATCCCCCCTGCCTTGCTGCTGGAATATCTGACTGTTGCACCCCCACCACAGCCCTGCCTGAGTGTGGCCCCTTCAGGCCTAACTGGCCCCAGCTCCTTTGTACACGCCCAGTAAACTGTTGTTTCCCAAATGGACTCTGCCCCCTTCACCTCTGCTCTTTGTATGCAGGTGGAAATTGCCCTCCAGGCCCAATCCATTTTCTACACCCCCAACCCCCTCCCACTCCTGTCCCACACCTCCCACAAGGCTGGCTTTGAGATCAGACAGAGATGGATCCACCCCTTCCTTCCTGTACAGTCCTGGTCTCTTACCCACTCTGGGCTTTGGTTTTCTCCTCTGTAAAATGGGCACAGTAGTGCCTATAGAGTTACTGTAAAAATAAACAGGGTACCATGTGTGAGGCCTTCCATTTTGGCAGTGAGTAGGAGTGTCCTCTCCTGGAGGAAGCGGCTGATCTGACTCTCAGTGGGGAGGGTAGGAGAGAGAGAAGGTGAGAAAGAGGCCTCAGGACCATATGGAAGGCTCTGCAGGGCAGGGAGGAGGCCAGTTCCTGCACCGAAGTCTTTGGGGGAATGGGAGATGATGCAGAAGTGATTGTGTAATTGAACACAGATTTGGCTGCCTGCCACAACAAAAGCCAAACTCCTGAGACAAGTGCTAGTGGGAAGTAAAGAGGTTTATTCAAGTACTGAGCACCTGAGAAGAGATGGTGTCTCTTGTCCCAAAACCTATCTTAACATCTCAGTGCTGGCAGAGGTTTTTATCAGGAGGGAGAGGGAGAGTAGAACAAAGAAATTGGGGG